CCATTTTGGATTTAACATTAGTCCGGTACATTTTCTAGAACTCATTAATGTAATAATGTAATAAGTCAAAAATACAATATAACCTTCACGTCAGTTTATTACGTTGTCATATTTCATAACCACATTATAAAATATCTAATTTCTGAATAATATTACCTTTTGTTCATCTAACTGGTCCTTGACTGGTTCAAGTTCATCACTGATGGGACTCAGTGACTTCAGTTTATCACCAGTGGCAGAAATCCAATCCAACATTCCTTGTGCGTCCCGAGTCTTGGCTGCAAGGCCATTCGCAACCGTAAGATTGGAGTCCAAGTCCTGTTGTCTCTCAGAAAGTTTACTGCCAAGATCACTGTACCGATCGGCAAGATCAGAAGCCTGTTTCTTTGCTTCAGATGGCTCTGTAAGATAAAGTATGAAATATGATGCACTGATTTGCTTTCAGAACAATAGACCTTGGCCGCCAAGATCACGATGAAGGAAGCCACAGGACTTGTTTTTGACCATCAAATACAATATAATGTTCAATTCTCACTAGTCATCGTGTCCACTATTAGAAATACTGTCACCATGGTTACATAGATAAGAAGAACAAGGGAACGGGATGATGGAATAGAGGATTAAAATAGTTTTGTGACTCTCTCGCTCTCAGCAGCCATTTTGCGTCTAAGGTGTAACGATGATAAAAGCATCAAATTTAAGACTATGACAACAAAATAAAATTGCATTTTTTGATTTTTTGAAGAAGGAAAAAAGACAGACCCTGATTAAAAAAACAAATGGGCAAAATAGCTTAATTTTCATCCTCCCATATACAAAAAACAATTCATGAAGTGTTATTGTTGACTTGTTTGTCAGTCAAGCATTGGCCATACATCTCACGGAATGTATGATAAATTGTAAATAGCCCTATAACTGAAAACATAGTATAATAGAAAACAGCCAAAAAAATTAGAATCTCATTTATTTCATACAACTCTCACCTCTGAGAAAATCTTTAGCTGGAGTGGCTTGTACTTGTGTTACAGCAATTGGTGTGATTTCCTCATCTGGAAGGCTTGCCAGAGTTGAAGACCGTCTGTGTGGTACAATGGTGGCCTGTGTTTTAGGTTGGGATATTGCATCTAGTTCTTTACCCAACTCAGCAACCTGGAGAATCTTGGGCTGAAATTCTGTATAGTCCTTCATCAATGGCTGATTAGAGAAATAAACAAAACATAGTCAATGTGTGCGTTTCATCATTGTTACCATAACAACCAATAAAAGCTATGACAACCAACTCTACAATAACCATAGCAACGTACCTTGTTTTCTTCTATCTGTGCCTGTATTTTATACACATCATATGCTGCTGGTTCAAATTCGTCTACTTTTTCATCCATTCCATCTAGCCATTTTGTCGCAACCTTGTGGGCACTGACAAATCTTTGCTTAGCATACTGTCTGTCATCCGCCTGTCTTCGTTTCATATCCAATGCATCTTGCAATGCTTCCCAGTTCTTGTTCACGTTGTTGAGAATTTCAGAGACTTGTTCAGTGTCATTAGCTTTTGGATCTTTCAGAAGTTCGTCTCCATGTTTTTTCACCTGCTCGAATTCAGGTTTTTTAGATTTCGTCTCACTTGCAACATTCTGAAAACAAATAATTATAGTTTATTGTCAATTTAAAGAAAATTCATTACACAGTGTGGTCTGGTGAAGAGCATAGTGCCATGCGCTGTGAGCGCAACAAATGCATGGCACAAGAGACAGACTACCGGGAATAAATTTTCGATAATCACTATATATATCATACTCATACCTTCAGTTTTTCATCTACCTGCGGTAAATCCAACTTATCCAACTCAACACCTTCCAAAGTTTCTAGAGTCGGTAAAAGCCAGTCTTCAAGTTTGTCTGCCTCATTTATAAATTGCGCTAACTTATCCAGACGACTCTGTACATAGTCACCATGTTTCTTGACCAACTCTTCCTCCTTGTAGAACTTCACATTCAGATCATCAAGTTTGTCCTGGATCGTCTTGGCTGCATCTGGTGGACTCTCTTTCATTAATTTGGCAGCTGAGGTATTCAACGCTTCAATGCTTGGTTTGTGGCTCTCCAAATCAGACTGTAAAACCTATAGTAGAAAAGGCAAAAATGTTAGTGGTGTAAACTTGACGTAATACTGTAAAACAATTTATTTTAATGCACTGACTTTTAATTTCACTATTTTGATGATTTATACAAATTCGCTAGGTTTTAAGTTCACAAACTTGGCAGGAAAACAATGAGTTCTCTTATAATTTCACATGTTCACATGGATTTAATTTAGAGAATTTTCCTTATCAGCTATCCTCACACATACTTGGCCAATTTTTATTATAAGAATTATAAATTTTGTCATGAATTTTATACTGTATGGCTTAAGGTTCATATAATCTCACTATTATTTTTTTTTTTGCCTTTACCTTTTGTTGCTGTGACAGTGCCGTGAGTGGATCTTTCTTAACCACAACTGGTGTAGCAACAAGATGTTCAATCCTATCATGCAAATCACTTGACCACGTCAGGAGTGTATCAAGTCCATCTTGGACACCTTGCGATTCGGTCAGTGCAGTCTGCAATACGTTGCATCTATCCGTCACCTGTGATTCTATCGCCTTGTATTTATCAGTCACATCAGTTATCAGCTTATCAACGTCCGATTTCATTTCCGACTGGACCTCGACAAGTTCATGACCAGTTTCCAGCACTCTGTCAACGCGAGGTGCTTGTGAGATTACAGCATCATTCAGATTCTATGTAAAAAAAAATTTGTAAATATTTTTGTTTTTTTTAACTCTTGTTAACACTGAGAATGTAAACATGAAAGGAATTTTGTAACTTGATATATATGAACTTATAAAATCATGAAAACTTGTTAACAAATAATAAAGATGAGAAGACCACTTGCCTTCAACTCTTCAATCTGAACTTGCACTGCTGCAGGATCTGCTGCAATAGGCTTCGTCACGAGAGCAGTTAACTCCTCTTCCTGCGTCTGTAGCCATGGCAACACCTCATCCACTGCATACTTCAAAGCAATATGCTTCTCCAGAACATCGTGAAGTTTCTCGACCTGTTGTTTATTTTCAGTTGCCAGTTTGTTGTAATCCTCATTAGTCTTAGTGAGTTTGTCTTTGATGACGCTCTGCTGAGGTGCCTCCGTGAACTCTTTGTTGAACTGCTTCGGAAGAGTTGAGCTACGGAACTCAGACAAGTCTTTCTTGTATTCCTGTTATGTGAGACATACACAAGATAGGGGATTTAGTAACAGCTTCTCTGATTGGCCAGCTTGTAAAGATTTGAATGTGCAGCAAATCAGAGGCAAGTTTATAATTCACTTCCTGCTCAATTAATGGGCAGCAACATGTAATTAGATTTAGTATACAATCAAAAGAACAATTCAATGTGTCCAAAACATTATTATTGGGATCTGTGAACTTTTTTAGTAAAATACTAAAACAATGGTAAACCTTATCTGGTCAAGTCAATGTATATGTAAATGAGGCTGGCAGGATAGGAGTTAATTATCCTAAGATATCAAGTTCTTGTTACAAATAATTAAGGAGTGAATCACCTTTAAACTGCACCTACTGACCCAATTACTAAAGAGCATGTAAATAAACCAACATTCCATCATACCTGAGCAACCTCTTTGACTTTCTGTCCTTCTTCATTCACATTATTCATCTCCTCGCGATGTTTCTCAACATCCTTAGCGAACTCTTTAATCTTTTCAACTTGTTCCTTGACAGCTTCGGGAGTCCGACCCAACTCCTTTGTTATGTCAGAGAGGGTATTTTCAGCATCACCGAGCCATTCCCTGAAAGTGTCATGATCCTCTTCAAATTTGATGAGTTCTTCTGATGCCGTTTCTAATTTCTTGACTCTTGTTTCCGACTGAGTGAGGAGGACATCGTAACTAGTTTTCAAATCTCCAAGAACCTTTTGTAGTTCTTCCTTGTCTGTGTCACTGAGTTTGTCTTCCTCCTTTTCAAGTAGAAGCTGAGCTGATTGAATGGTGGCAGTTATCGGTTCTTGGTGCTCAATGACATCTTCCTGAATAGCCTGTTAAAACACATGTAAAAGGGTTGCAATATCTGTTTTTTGTGTCATGTGACTTTTCCATACATTGTAGTCATGACTGTGTCTCTTTTTTGTTTGTTTCTGGTGCTAATTGCAAGTGACTGTGCATGCCAGTCTCCCAAATCTAATACCAGTATTTGAAATGTAGTGCAGACTGTATCCTGATTTATACAGCTGAGTATACAGTCGGAATTGAGATTGAACCCACAACTTCCTTGAAAACAGTTACAAGGGTCCACGAACAGTAGACGTGAGGACGAAAGAGAATAGAATACTATTTGGGATGCAAAAATAAGTCACATGGCCCTCTCACACTCAACGAGATCTGTCTCCATTTGTAAATAAGATGTGTTGATAATATATTCAAGTTTGAGGTATATAACAGCAGCCTATGACAGACATATTGGTAAATAATAATTTGATAAATAAAATAATAATAATAATATAAATAAATAATAATAGGGTAAATAATAATTTGATAATCATGTTAATGGTAAATTTAATCAATATTATTATCAATATCACCATCATTATCACTATCATCATATTAACTGTATCTTACCTTGTTCCCCATTTGCTGCGAGGTCAAAGGTTGAACTTCCTCAAACATAGGTTGCTGAGATCCCAGCTTTTCTTTTGATGTTTTTATCCAGTCCAGCATGCTAGCAATGTGACTTGTCTGTTCTTTGCATTTAGCTTCCACAGCAATCTACAAGACACAAAATAACAGTGTACCATGAAATGTACCCAAGATCTAATATTGTATTGATAGTCGGAATTTTGCACTTGTAAATCAAAATACAAGGCATGCCTGGAAAAAAAACACTATCTACATTGAAAGCTTGAATTAGAAGCTGCAGTTCTTCCATTTACTCTTGCTTATAAGCAATTTTTCCTGTTGCCATGAAAATAATTACAACGGGTTTGATATTTTTGGCTGTAGAATTTTCTGTTAAAACATTGATAAATTTGAAGATTAAATACTTTGACATATTGCTATATTTTCATGAAGTCAGAATGAATGATGAGAAGAAATGCTGCTTGCACTTGATTAACCAGTACAAGTAACTCCAGATTATTCCGATACAAATTGATTGCAAATTTCTTCATATTATTATATTATAAATGTACCTTCTCCTTCATACGTTTCTCCGCATCATTTATAGCAGCCTGTGTTTTTCGTATGTTGTCCTGTGATACATCCGCGAGTTTGTCGTATCCAGTCTTTACATCGTCCGACAATCTCAGTAAACCGGATTGCTGATCTGGTGTTAGATTGTCTCTACTGTTGTCCAGGAACACCTCAGCTCCTTTGACAGCTGAATGAACTTCACCACGGTGATCACGAATATCCTCTTGTAGGGCCTGAATAAAGTATATTTTCAATCTGGTTACTATGGTTACAAAAGTAAGGACAGTGTGCTTTAGAAAATTCTCAAAGTTTATATAATTATGCAACTGTAGAAAGGGCGCCCTCTAGAGGATTTCATAGTTGCTATGATAATGTATCTGTAGGCAGGGCGCCCTCTAGAGGACTCTCATATTGCTATGATTATAAATCTGTTGGCAGGACGGCCTCAAGAGGGATATAAAAGGTATTATAATTATAAAATTGTGAACTTGACACCCTCTAGAGGATTCTCAAAATTAAATTAATTTAAAAGGCCCTTCAAGAAGAGTCATAAATATTTAATTTCATGAGAAAGACAAATTTGACAGAATCTTGCCTTTTCTTTGTCCATCTGATCTTTCAGTTTATCAGAATCATCCGTCTTTGGTTTCTCTTCTTTCAGTACTTTTTCTACATCACCAATCCAACTCTTCACGTCTTCCAAGGCATCTGTCTTCTCTTCCAGAGCTGTTGCAACACTAAGGTTGTCCATTAAAGACGTTTGTCGGTCGTCCAGTTTATGTTCAAGAGAGTCGTACCTCTCTGTGATATCCGCAACTTTGTTCTGAGCGGCTGTTGGACCTACAGATGAAGGTGAAAATTTAAGTTTAATTGATTGACGACAGAAAGTTTCAACCAGTAAATATTTCAAACAAACATAAAGACATTGAAAAATTTATTTTCATTTCATTGAATTCCCGATAATAAGAATAATGTTACGTAACAATGGTGAATTGACACAAAATAAATACAAATCAGGCAATGATCAACTATGACCTGAACGATTTTTGTATAGAGAAACATAATCGCATGATGAGAGAGAATCCACATCAACTGACCTTTGAGAAGATCACCTGGTGCAACCACAGTTGGTTTCCTGGTGACCTTTCCTAGTGTATCTGGTTCCGCTATCAAGGCACTCCTACGTACTGGTGCTGCCATGGTAACTGCTTCATCAGGTTCATTCAGAGTATCCAAATGTGAACCAATCGTTTTAACTTCCTCAATCTTAGGTTTGTAATTTTCAACTTCCTTCTGGATTGGCTGCAGACAAAAAATGTTTAAAAACAATTAATAAATCTGAATAAATATAATGATAAAGTATTACAAGTTTGCAATTTTACTCAGAAACAAAGTATCACAGCAGTAATGGACTTCATTGTGGTTCAAAAGCAAATTTGTGACAGCTAGAGCAAGGTTTGCTTGGGTGAAGTTTAGGGAATGTGGAGAGTTACTATATGGGAAGAGATTTCCCTTGGAGATGAAAGGAATAGTTTATAAGAGTTGTGTGAGATCAGCATTGCTGTATGGGAGCGAGACATGGTGTTTGAGTGAAAATGAGCTGGGTATTTTAAGGAGGACAGAGAGAGCGATGGTGAGAGTGATGTGTGGGGTGAAGTTGATGGACAGAAAAGTAACTGAGGACTTGATGCAGATGTTGGGTTTGAAGGAAGCGGTAAATCGGTTGGCGAAGGCAAATGGGGTACGTTGGTATGGGCATGTGCTGAGGAGGGAGGATGGGCTTGTATTAAGAAGGGCCCTTGATTTAGAGGTGAGTGGTCCAAGGAAAAGGGGAAGGCCAAAGAAGACGTGGAAGATGCAAGTGGAGGAGGAGAGTGGGAAGGTTGGGATGAGGATGAGGGATGCTTTAAATCGTGCAAAGTGGAGGGGTAAGAGCGATTGCCACTAGTTTAAGGTGAATCCGGCCACCCTCGTCTTCGGGGACAAAACCGGATTTAAAACTCTGGACTACTACTTTAATGACAGTTTACAAAGTAAATGCTCTTTTTAAAATACTCAAAACAATTTCTGATTCGTTGCTATACAGTTGAATATACAGAATTTGTGAATCGACTTTGGTTGAAATTTTAAACTGATTGATGATGAGGCTTCGTTTGAAAAACAAAATATTTGAGTTGTTGTGGTCAAATATATTGTTAATGACAATGACTACAATAGGAGCAGACTTTAAAGGCTGTTTCTTTGTATCTTACCTTTTGTTCCTCAATTTGTTTTTCTAGTGTAGGTTTCTCATGAGTGGCGGGTTCCAAGTCTTCAAACTTGGTTTCCATGGTACCCAACCAATCGTCAGCATCTTTAGTAGTCTTGCTAAACTTCTTGTACGTTTTCTCTTTGTCTTGAAGCTTCTTATTTCTGAAGACAGAACACGGAGAAAACTGGTTAGCTTTGATCGCAAATACATGTAATGTAATTTGGTTTGTGTTTTGAAATATAGGGATAATTTCGTTCAATTCTGTTCACACTATTAAACTTCACAAAGCGTTCATTGTGTTTGGTTAGAGTATTGATTAGAATCATTTTGATTGACATGCTTGGAATGAGATCGCTTTTAAATGCGAGAGTTTGCTGCTCGTGCGATTTTCATTGCGAATCACCTTTCATAGTAGTTCTTCCCAAATAAAAGTAAAGAAAGTTGTGACGGAGAAAATGAATTGTTCACTGAAGTAAAATTTAAGAAATAACTATTATTAAACATTAATTTTTACAAATTACATTATACCAACATATGAAAATATATTCATTTATACCTTCGGTCAAGTGTGTCTTCCAAAGCATCCCAATTCTTGTCAACGTTCTTCAAGATTTCGGACACCATGGATGTGTCGGTAGCTTGTGGATCTTTAACGATGTCATGTCCAAGCTGTTTAATCTTCTTATACAGTGGACGATGAGTGTCAACCTCATGGCTTACTCCGGTCAATTTCTTGCCAAGTTCGGTCGGGTTGAGTTTGTCAACTTTGGGTGACTGGAGATCCTCAAGCGCTGGTACCAACCAGTCTTCAAGTTCCTCAACGTCTTTCAGAAGATCGGAAAGATGATCAAGATCAGACTGCAGATAGTCGGCCCACCTTTCGATTTTATCACTGGCCCGCTGGTATCGATCACTAAGACTGTCAAGTTTCACTTGCAGCGGCTTTGTCGCAGAAGGTTCACCTTGAGATACTAGTTTTGAAGCTGCCTCTTGGATGGTGTCCACGCTTGGTTTATGACTGTCAATGTCAACTTGCAGCACCTGAACAAGTGAAAAAACAAAAGTTTTAATCTAATGAGTGTACATTGTATTTAACTAAAGAAACTACTGTTAAGGTCACTTTTCTACATCCTCTTCAATTTTATTTTGTACAAGTATCCTATACACAGTTTATCATGAAAATGTCATAAATGTCTTGCACCAAAGCAATATGACGATCATATCAACTAACATGTAGTAAAGGTCAATGCAATCCCGTACTACCTGAGTGCATAATTTTGCAGTATTCTCTTGATAACCTTATTATTATATTTTGCTTGCTTGGAGTAATAATTTAGTACTGTAGCTGTATATTAATAATTCCTGATATGCCAAGATGTAATTTGCAGTTCATGATTTAATAGCAAGACCACATATATTCATATATATATATATATATTCATATATATATATATATATATATATATATATATATATATATATATATGATATACAAGAGCAAAAACAACTCAAACACGCAAATTCAGAGCAACAACAAAA